AAAACTTTTTTATTTTCTCTTGCAGGTAGTTTATAGATGCTGGGAAAGAAATGACGTTAAAGGGGCCATTACTGCAATGGAGAAAATGGCTGATAATGCTGTGAGTTCTAGTCTCTACTATTTCTGGATTTGTGAAGTTCAACCATGTAGAGCCTTTCTCAGTTGCCTTCTACACGATGTAAATTGTAGGTAGTTGCAGATGTAATGTGTATTGTGAAGGAGAAAATTGATGTTGTCACATTAGATATTTGCACTTGTCTTCTTCCCCTTCTGACAACCCTTCTTGCGAGTAACATGGACAGGTAAGAATGTTTGATTTCTCATCCTCAATGTGCTATTTCCACAGATCTTCTCAGAACTTTGATTTGTATTTTTTAAATTAATGGTGAGATATCATTCTTTGTTGTAGTCATCTCCACCACCTTAACAAATCACAACCTGTTTATGTTTATGTTTTGTTTCCTATGCATTATTTTTATGCAAGTACCAGCAAGGAATAAATAGAAAACAAAAACCTTTTTTTGTTTTCTATTTATTCCTCGTTGGTAGTTGCAATTGTTTGCAATATCATTTAGTGCGGGTAAAGATAATTAATTTGGAGTAGAAGTTGCCTTACTTTATTGAACTGATTCTAGTGATGTGCATATTTTCTTTTTAGGCATATATTGGTGCATCTGATAGCTCCTGTGGATTCCTCATTTTCTTTTCAAAATTTATTACAGATACATGATAATATTTGGTTATTCCAAAATGTAACTTCAGGTTCTAGTATTTTAACAGGCTTTTCATGTGCAGCCATTTGAATATCTCTCTGGATGTGTTGCTTAAGCTAGTAAGAATATTTGGTTCTCTAATTTATTCAACAAAATCAGCATCAACATCCGTTGGGGTAGACATTGAGGCAGAGCAAAGGTAGGTTTCTTTTTCCGTCTTATAGCAAAGGTAGTTATTGTTATTGATTACATCTTAACTGCAATTTGCTTTGTTTAACTAAGCAAGATGTTGCGGCTTCTTTTGATTTAATAGATTGGAACGGTGCAATCTCTGCTTTGTAGAGCTTGAAAAATTAAAAAATTGTCTGCCTGCTCTGACCAGGTGACTTATTTCTTCGGTTATTTTTTGCTTTTTGGTTCGTATAACTAGATATTGTCATATATTTACGAGATATCTTCTTTTTTCTTTTATAGAAGAGGAGGGTCAGTTTCAAAATCTGCACATGAACTGAATCTAGCACTACAGGAAGTCTCATGACTAACCCACCAATTATATTCTGGGTTGACATGGATGGGAGTATGTTGCTATATAAAGTCGCATATCAGTACGTAAGGACTAGACTAAAGCTATCAATAATCAGTATGATGGCTTGACTTGCCTTGGCCTTCTATGTACATTCATACTAAGTGGAGGCATTAACTAGCTGACTCTACTAAGTTAACTGCAATGTAAAGAAAGGCTCATTGGCATCACACTTTAGCTGCTACTGGTTGCTGCACACAGTTCTGGCATTTGTAATTGCTGAAGAGAACTTGGCAACTCCACCTTCTGCTAACTCTCCATATACTTCTCCAAGTGGTAGCATTTGGCATGTACTGATTTAACTCTTGTTTCCTTTTCGGGTGTTACATATACGAATTTGCCACAATGATGGAACTGAGGCCTGTAATATGTATTTTTTCTTTTTTTGTTTTTCTTTCTTGGGTGGGAGAAGGGATGGGAGGGATTTGAAATAGTGCAAGTTGAGCTGCTTTTTCCTTACGTATATTCTATTCGATATGATATATATATATATATATATATATAGATATTACGGTACCAGAGAGGTACTGTTGACTCCTTACATGGCAGAGTTTTCGACCCTCTTGCTGAAGGCACAAGTGTTCTGACAATTCAATATTTTTTTCTTGAGGTTCGAGGAAGATTTGTTAATTGTGTATTTTATAAGTATAGGACCGTTGCTGAAGGCACAAGTGCAATGACATTCCAATGTTCTTACGAGTTTTAAGGAAGATTTCTTAATTCTGTGTATTGTATAACCAAGGGTAGTATATGTGTCTATTGTTTTAAGTACATAATCAGTTTAACTAACAATTGAAGTATGAGTATGAGTTGCCAAAAATATCACAAGGCCTGGTTTTCCTTCAGGTTCTATCTCTTATTCTCTCGGGAAAAAGCTCTAATTAATTTATAATATGAAGGCATCATCTGTCTTCCTGGGTCTTTCTAGTTGCAGGTGAAGAAGATGGACAAGCTATACAATTTTGAGGAACTCTCGTGATAACGGACTCGTTTTGTTTATTTTCATGGGTTCTCGATTGGGTTGAGCTTTGAGTAAAAGTGGGTAAATGACCTGAGTTTAATTTAATTAAAAAGTAAAGGAAACCCATTTTAGGTTGAAGAATGGTTTAATTGGATGTTTCCATCCCCTCTCTTTGCTTTTCTTTTCTCTCTATCA